GGGGGCACCCGAGGGTGGGCAGGGCAGGGACAAGAGGGAGCATCCAGGAGATGGGTGGGAATGGGGGACACCCCTGGGTGGGCTGGAAGTGGGGGGGGGCAGTCAAGGGTGGAGGGGGTCGGGGGGACCCCAGGTGTAGATGGGGGGCACTGAGGGAGTGCTGGGTTGGGGCACCCCGGGGGTCTCACAGCCTCCCCTGAGGGTGCAGGTGCCACAGGGGGTCCCGGGGGCGATGCCAGCACGGGGCCCCCACCCGGCGACCCCCACGGGGCCCCCCCCGAGCCCTCCCGGGGGCCGCGGCTCTTCTGCCTCGAGTACGAGGGGGACGACGGGACGGTCACGGCCGTGATCGTGCACCAGGTGAGACCCCGGGGCGGGGGGCACGGGGCACTGGGGGGGTTCTGTGGGGCAGGGGGTGCTGCTGCGGGTGGAGGGGGTGCCACAGGGTTGGGGTGCGGTGAGGGAGGGGTCAGTGGCACAGGGGGCGCTGCCATGGGTAGAGGGGGTGCCGTGGGGTGCAGTGGGTGCCCATTGGGTGGCTGGGGGGTCCCATGGGGTCAGAGGTGCTGCTGTGGGACAGGGTGGGGGTGCCATAGGGTCGGGGTGCTACGGGTGGGAGGTGCTGTGGGGCGGGATGTGCCCACTGAGAGGGGGGGTCCCGTGGGGCAGTGGGGAGGCTCTGTGGGCCGGGGGTGGTGCTGTGGGTGCCCCCGGGGGGTCCCTGTGTGCCGTGGCCCCAGCGGTGCCGTGTCCCCCCCAGGGGGACAGCGCGGAGGAGGTGACGCGCCGGGTGTGCGCCCGCAGCCCCCTGGAGCCCCCCCTGCGCAGGGCCCTGTGCCAGCGCGTGCAGGACGAGCTCAGCAAGCGCCGGGGCACGGGCTGACACTGCCACACCCCCCCGGGGGACACGGGCACCCCCCCAGGACGGTGCCACCCCCGCCGGTGTCAATAAAGGTGCTGCGAGGCTCTGGTGTCTGTCACTGTTGGGGAAACTGGGGCGGGGGGACGCTCGGGAGGGGGGAGGGCTCCTGGGGACCCCTGCATGTCATCCCCCTCAGAGTCCCCTGCCAGGGTGTCCCTGTGTGACAGTGGTGCCATGTCCCCCGACCCCTCTGTCCCCTCCCAGGTGCCATTGTTTGCCCAGGGACCCCCTTGTCCCCTCCATGGGGTCCCCTCCTCGGTGTCATCGTGTCACCAGGGATCCCTCTGGGGGGCCACAGCCCCTTCCTGCCCCCTGGCCCAGGGTGTCCCCAGGGTGAATGCCACTGTCGTGTTATTGTAGGGTCTCCCCAGGGTGGGTTGTGGGGGCGTCTATTGTGGTTGGGGCTCCCTGAATCAGGGTCCTTTGTTATTGTGGGGTCTCCTGAGAGCAAGGAATGGTCTCCCTGGAGATCACCCCACTGCTCTGTTATCGTCTCACCCCTCAGGGGGTAATTGCAGGGTTTACCCCAAAGCAGGTTCTGGTGTTTATTTATTGTAGGGTCTCCCCAGAAGGTGTCCAGCTTGTTTGTTGTCATCTCGTCTCCCTGAAGTGGGCCCTGCTGATTCGTTATTGCTGGGTCTCTCCAAACAAGAGTCATGGTGTTTATTTATTGTAGGGTCTCCCCAGAGATCATATTTGTTATTGTAGGGTCTCCCAGAAATAGATGCTAGTGTTTATTAATTGTAGGGTCTCCCTGGAGAGATGTTGCTGGTTTGTTATTGTAGGGTCTTCACAGAGACCACCCCACTGCTTTGGCATTGTAGGGTTTCTCAAGAGAAGGCACAAGGAGTTATTATTGTAGGGCCTACCTTAAGCAGGTTTTGGTGCTTATTTAGTATAGGATTCATTTGCTGTTGTAGGGTGTCCACAAAGCAGATCCTGGTGCTTAGTTATCATAGGATCTCTTTGTTATTGTAAGGTCTACCTTGAGCAAATCCCACTGGTTTCTTACTAGAGGGTCTCCCCAAACAAGATCACAAGATCTCCCCAGAGGGGTTTGGCACACTTGTAGGATCCCCCCAAAGCAGATCCTGGTCTTTATTTATTGTAGGGTCTTTCTGGAGCTAAACTTATAGGTTTGTTATTTTAGGGTCTCTGAGAAACAAATTGTGGAGCTTATTTATTGCAGTCTCCCTGTTATCATAGGCTCTCCCCAAACAATTCCTTGTGTTTATTTATCGTAGGGTCTCCCCCAGTGGGTCCAGCAGGTTTGTTGTTGTAGGGTCACCATGGAGATCATCCTGCTGGTTTGTTACTGTAGGGTTTCTCCAAATAAATCTGGGTGGTTATTTATTGTAGGGTCTCTCTAAAGTAGATCCCATGGGTCTGTTGTTGTGGGATCTACCCCAAATCAATCCCCCTTATTTGTCATTGTGGGGTTTCCCCAAACATATCTCAGTGATGATTGATTGTAGGGTCTTCCTGGAGATCATCCCACTGCTCTTATTGTAGGGTCTCCCTGGAGGGGGTCCAGCATGTTTGTTGCTGTAGGGTGTCTCCAAATGAGTCCTGGTGTTTCTTTATTGTAGGGTGTCTCCAGAACTCATCCTGTTGCTTTGTTATTCTAGGGTGTCTACAAAGCAGAATCTGGAGCTTTTGTTATTATAGGGTCTCCTTAAAACAGACCCAGGTTATTTATTTATTGTAGGGTGTCCTTGAAGTTCGTCCTCCTGGTTTGTGATTGTAGAGTCTCCCCAGACAAGCCTTGGTGCTTATTTATTGTAGGGTCTCCCCAGAGTGGGTCCAGCATGTTCGTTATTGTAAGGTCTCCCTGGAGCTCATCCTGCTGCTCTGTTATTGTAGGGTCTCCCCAAATCATGTGCTGGTGCTGATTTATCATAGGGTCTCCCTGAAGTGGGTCCTGCTGGTTTGTTATTGTAGGGTCTCCCCAAAGAGCTGCTGGTGTTTATTACAGGCTCTCCCTTGAGTGGCTCCTGCTCTTCCCTTCTTGCACAGTTTCTCCAAAGAAGGTCTGGCACGTTTGTTATTGTAGGGTCTCTCCAAAGCAGATCTGGGTGTGTGTTTATTGTAGGGTCTCCCCAGAGCTCATCCTGCGGGTTTGTTATTGTCGGGTCTCCCCGAGTGAGATCCTGGTGCTTATTTATTGTAGGGTCTCCCTGAAGATCATCCCACCGGTTTGTTATGGTAGGGTCTACCCAAACAAGTCCTGCTGTTTATTTATCATGGGCCTCCCCCCCATGTCTCTGTTGTCAAAGGGGCTCCACGGTGCTGGGGGGGCTCGGTCCGTGCCTGTGGGGTGGGGACAGTGGCAGTGGCTGGGGGTGACCGTGCCAGGGCCAGTGCCAGGCCCAGGCCCAGGAGGAGGAGGAGGAGGACGAAGAGGCCGAGGCCGAGGGCCACCAGGAGCCACCGGCGCTGTCCCCGGCGCTGCCGCTGCGTCACCACCCGAGTGCTGCGGGTGAAGGCCTCGCTCTGCAGTGGGACACGGGGGGGGCTACAGGGGACAGCCCACGTACAGCCCCTGCATGGCCCTGTGCCCCCTCCCCGGAGCTCTACAGCCCTGTAATGGCCCCCAGAGCTCTGTGTGTCCCCCTCGGGCCGTGTGTCCCCATAGTGTCCCCCAGGGCTCTGTGTGTCCCCCTCAGGCCGTGTGTCCCCATAGTGTCCCCCAGGGCTCTGTGTGTCCCCCTC